AAAAGACCAGTGTTAAATGCAAGAAAATATTATAGCTCTCTACGAAAATTTTACTATGAAAAATCTACATATAAAGAGTTAATGTGACTATTACTGTATTAGAAATCTTTGGAGTAAATTACACGAATGCTCCCTATGGTTTAGGGTAATTTGCGCGTTTGGTCCCTAACTTATTTTTTTAACTCGGAAAGTCCCTACTGTTTGTTTTTGTTACGCGCTTGGTCATTGTCTTACCTAAAAAGACTATTATTTAAATAGGGCAAAATGGTGGGGTAGGTAAGGTAAGGTGAGGGGGGTGGGGTTGGGGGTGTGTTTATTTAAATAAATTGAAAAATCAAGGGCAAAATAGTTTTTTTAGGTAGGACAGGGACCAAGCACGTAACAAAAAACAAACAGTAGGGACCTTCCGAGTTAAAAAAATAAGTTAGGGACCAAACGCACAAATTACCCTAAACCATAGGGACCATTCGTGTAATTTACTCAAATCTTTGTAATTGAGTGTCATTGCTATGATTGGGTAAAATTGTTAAAGTTCAAGTGTTATTAAATTGTAATAGGAAGAAATGAAAATAGGATGCTACAGTAAAAAGTAAAAGTACATTGGTCATTCTTCATTCTAACCGATTTGTTAAGTGCATAATACTCTGCATACATATTTTTGATTTATATATTTTTGATGTTATATACATGTAAATTGATGTTTTGGGGTTTTTTTTTTTTTTTTTTTTTTTTTTTTTTTTTTTTTTTTAAATGCAGTTGTTGGCTTATCATTTAACGGTTCTACGAGGATACAATGTTGATCAACCAAGGAATCTTGCAAAGAGTGTTACAACCGAATAGAATATATAGATCGGCATATGAAACTAACATAGGTCACATTGCATTTAGAGTTCCAATTAATTGGTGTGTTTCAGTATACAATTCTAAGACTGATTTAACAAGGACATACTATCTTGATATAGAAATTTACATCTTAAGATTTTTTTTAATCATGTATATCATAATCTTTTCTAATGATTGTTCTCTTTTTGTTGTTTTTCATTAACATTTAAATTCTCATGTTTGTTTGGACATAAGATTTGGATCATACTAGGCTTAATTCTCACCACATAGCGTAGTTGCATTCGGGGTTGTGTATATACATAAAGTAGCCGAGCATTCGGGTATTAGCAGTTGCAGTGTGGAAATTTCAATTGCAGTGTGAATTGAGTTGCTTGTGGACATTGGACTTGTTATCCAATATGTACATGCTTTATATTTTATATGAGACGAGGTGGTCTGGATAAGCTTAGAGGTTGCTGGAAGAATAAAAAGACTTTTAAAGGTTGCTGGAAGAATAAAAGGACTTGATTATCGTATTGTTACATTTGGTGCCAAAAAATATGGTTTATTCTCTTCTCTTGTGCATATCAATCCGAAATGTATTTGATACGAGGAATGACAAATTTTGGCACAAAGCTTGATTTCACCATTAAAGAGGTGGGGGTAACATCATGTACAAGTAGTAAGCAATTATCCACCAAAGGTTGAATACATGTTAGGCCCATCTTCATTCTAGATAATGTATTTTGGTATAAAAACATCGAAATGGTTAAGTTTTGTCTATCTTATATTCATAAACAACTTAAAATAGATTTATTACAGTTGCTTTCATCATCAAGTTATATGCTATACCACAAGTAAAACTTAGAAACTCATTATTAGTATAATTCTACAATCGGATAAGAATTTGGTTCTAGAATTGATTTTTTTAATGGATTTATGAATATGGTTGAGTTAACTAAATTTTCAAGTCTTATTATATGAATATTCATGATCAATGTATTTGATTATAACTTTTTAAGTCTATAAAAAACAATTTCATTTCCTTTCATACGGTGGTATAAACTAAACAAGGACATAAATAATAAAATAAATGGAAATTTTGTCAAATAACCAAAAAATGAGGTGGAGTTGAAAAATATAACCAAGAAAATCGGATTTTCATAAAATGACCACGGTTTCCGTAGAGACGGGCTCTGTGGAAATTGTTTATGAATTGCGGAAGCCTAAATTCTCCGAGTAAGTGACGTGGCAGAGGTAAAATCATAAAACCATATAAATAAAATACCATTTCCGTAGAGAAATTACAATTCCGCAGAGGCCGTACCATTTAAGCAGAAACCTGCTCTGTGTCAGACGTAAACAATGCTTATTTAGCTACCATTTACACAAAACATTAACATTTCCGTAGCTCTGTGGACTCGTCCCATCAGACGTCAGTTTTTGTCTTTCTGCACAAGTGTCCAATTCCTCAAAGGGGAAACTGTTCTGCAGAGTCCGTCTGTGTGAAACTTATGGTGCGTTTAGTTGCGGAAAAACAAGCCGTTTTCCGGAAAAAATTTCCAAGAAAAATGAGAATTTTGAAAACGCGTTTCGTTCGTCTATTCTTCTAAATTTTTTACGGAAAATGAAAATTTTTCGTTTTCTAAAATTACAAAGAAGTTGGAATTTTTTGGATAACTGATAATCATTATTTTCCACATTTTTCTAATTTCAATTTTTTTAAAAAAATATAAACCCACCCACTCCCACCCCATCCACCTCTACTTACCCCCACCTTAACACTAGGGATGAGATTTAGAACCGGAAAACGGACCGGAACCGGAACCGTTAGAACCGGAATATGTAAAACCGGTCCGGGTCCCGGGTTTAAAGAATTGCTCTATCCGGGTTCCGGGTAATCCGGGTTTCGGGTCCTTCGGGTCCGGGTAAATTGGGTTTAAGAACCGGAACCGTGTTAGGAACCGGAACCGGTTTTAGGGGCCGGAACCGGTTTCTATGAAAAGTTTAAAACATGCATATCTCATTCGTTTGAACTCGGATTGGCATGAGGTTTTTTTTTCATAGTATAGTTTATAATTTGTACATGATTTTAGACTATAATTTTGTCATTTTTGGGTTTATATTCATTGACTTATAGTCTCTCAAAGTCGGGATATCAAAACTGGAAATTTTATGTTTTTCAACTTTTTTTTTTGTATTCTGTGATAGTTTTAAAACATGCATATCTCATTCGTTTAAAGTCGGATTGGCATGAAGTTTTTTCCATAGTATAGTTTATAGTTTGTACATGATTTTAAACTATAATTTTGTCATTTTTGGTTTATATTCATTGACTTATAGTCTCTCAAAGTCGGGATATCAAAGCTGGAAATTTTATGTTTTTCATCTTTTTTTATATTCTGTGATAGTTTTAAAACATGCATATCTTATTCGTTTGAAGTCGGATTGGCATGAGGTTTTTTCCAGAGTGTAGCTTATAGTTTGTACATGATTTTAGACTATAATTTTGTTATTTTTGGGTGTTTATTCATTGAATTATAGTCTTTCAAAGTCGAGATATCAAAGCTGAAAATTTTATGTTTTTTTAGCTTTCTTTGTATTTTGTGATAGATGTAAAACATGCATATCTAATTCGTTTGAAGTCGGAATAGCATGCGGTTTTTTCCAAAGTGTAGTATAGAGTTTGTACATGATTTTAGACTATAATTTTGTCATTTTTGGTTTAATATTCATTGATTTATAGTCTCCCAAGGTTGGGATATCAAAGCTGCAAATTTTCTTTTTTTTTTTCTCAGCTTTATTTTTGTATTTTGTGAAATTTTAAAACATGCATTCGACCCACTTTACCCGGTTCCCCGGGTTTTTCGGTTTTAGATCCACTTTACCCGGTTCCATTCGACCTACTTTGATATTTCTGGGTTTTCCGGTTCTAGACCCACTTTATCCGGTACCTTACTCGGAACCGAACCGGTTCCTATATACCGGTCCGGTTTCCGGTCCTATAAAATCTCGTTAATCGGTTCCCGGGTCCGGGTCTACCGGTCCGGGTTTGGACCCACTCTCATCCCTACTTAACACCCCCAACCCACCATACCCCACCATACCCACACCCACCCACACACACACACATATATACACACCCACAAACAAAAACACACCTACAAACACACACACACACCCATCCCCATCCCCACCCCACCCCACCCCTACTCCCACAAACACACACATACACACACAAACACACACACACCCACAAACACACACATATACATACACCCATCCTTACCTCCACCCCCACCCTATCCCCCACAAACACACACACACACACACAAACCCACATCTACCCCCACCCCACCCCCACAAACACACACACACACACACCTCCACAAACACACACAGATACACCCACCCACCCAACACCACTACCACAATCACCGACCTACCATCACCATCACCACCACAACTACCTTATCACCACCACCACCACCACCACCACCATTATCGCCACCATCACCACCACCGCCAGAATTGCTGCCACCACCACCGCCTCTCATTACCACCACCGCCGCCGACCCGCTACCGCCGCCACGCCCACCCCCACCGCTACCGTTTTCTAGGAATGAAAACTGATAGAAAAATACACATCTAAACACGTTTTCTAATTTTCTAAAACTGAAAATGAAAAATGAATAAGTTTTAATTAAACGCGTTTTCTAAATTTTCCAATGAAAAAGGAAAACGGAAAATGAAAACCAGAAAGGAAAAACGAAAAACGGAAAATGAAAACTGTTTTTCCGTAACTAAACGCAACCTTAGTATTTTATGAAAATCCGATTTTTTGATTATATTTTTCAACCGAGAAATTAAATATCCTCCTACTTTTTCTTCCTACAAATCCTCCTACCAAATTAAATTATGACATGTGACGTATTAGTATACTAAAATATCATTAAATTTCATTAAATAAACATTAAATGTTACACATGTCACCATTTAATTGGGTATGAGGATTTATAGGAACAAAAAAATAGAAGAATATTTCATTTTTCAACCCCATCTCATTTTTTGTTTATTAGAGAGATTTTCCCTAAAATAAATTCCAATTAAAAAAAAATGAAAATCCGGCAAGATTTTATACAACTTAATTCCCGTTAAGGGTAGTTCGTTCCCGCCCTAAAGCCACAAAATGTTCAATTAGGAATTCCGATTTTCAACGTAGTTGCAATTCTCAAACAAATTTGGTTTCGATCTCTACACTTTCAGCTGCAATCGAAGATCGGTGGTGATTGTTAGGGATACAATCGTTTCTGCTTCTCCTGTTGACGACGCGATGGTGAAGGAATCAACACCGCCTAATTCAAGAGCTAATCTGAAGAAGCCTCCATGGCAGACTGTTCTCACTTTTTTCACCAAAAACTACGCCCTTTTGCTGGTACTACTGCTTTTTTCTGAGACGATTCTGCGGTTGCTATTTGGGAACAATGACGTTTATCCTTTAGGGCTCGATAGACGGACCGCTGAGGAAACCAAGTCCCTGTTACATACGACTACCAAAATGATGCAGGTTCAGATTGAAGCTGTGGACAGAAAAATCGAGAAAGAGATTGAAGATTTAAGAAACGAATTGAGTGAGAGAATAGATGAGAATGATTTCTTCTATGGGGCCAGATTGCGTGATTTTGGTGAAAGGGTTGATAGTATTGGGCGATCATTGATTAGTGAGGAGTGGTTATGGAAAGATGAATTCAACAAAAGTCTAGAGAAATTAAAGTTCAAAAAGGGGAAGGATGAAGGGGATTTTAGGTTGGATGAAATGAAGGATTATGTGAAGGAGATGATTGAGAAGGCAATCGACAAGCATGCTGCTGATGGACTTGGTACTATTGACTATGCGGTTGCTTCTGGTGGAGGAATGGTGGTGAAACACTCTGAACCCTACAATTTGCCAAATGGGATTCATCTGTCTCGTCTGAAGATTCTGCAACCTAGTTTTGGTGAGCCTGGTCAATGTTTGCTTCTAAAAGGAAACAATGGTTATGTTGAGATCAAATTGAGGCAAACCATCATCCCAGAGGCTATAACTCTTGAACATGTTGCAAAGGTTTGTTCTCTTATCTTGTTCTTTGGTGATCATTCCCAATTAATATGTTAATGCCCATAATTCTTTCCAGAACTATGCTGCTTCTTGTTGATTTATTCACTTAATTTGTGCATTTTATGGTGTTATGAATATGAACAGAGTGTGGCATACGGCAGATCTATGGCTCCAAAGAAGTGTAGAGTGTTTGGATGGTTGCATCCTGATTCCAAGAAGATGGTTTTGCTGAGAGAGTTCTCATATGATCTTGAAAAAAGAGATGTACAAACATTCAATGTTTGGGAAAAGGGATATGCTGTGAACATGATGAGATTTGAGTTCAGATCAAACCATGGAGACCCCACTCACACTTGCATATATCGCTTCAGGGTGCTTGGTCGTGAGCCCAATTCTCTCTCATCCTTGGTAACACACTCACTCATCACATTATATGCAATCTCTTTTATCTTATCAAATTATGGAGATTTCATGCTTAGGTTGAATTGAAAATTATTAATTGGTCCATATAATAAAGTTTGTATGTAATTTGATTATGATCCTTGAAGTCTGGTGTTAATGTGTACTGTATGCTTGTGTTATTGGTTGCAGATTCCTCAGACTAGTAAAAATGAGTCAACTTTTTCAAGTGAAGTGATGATGAATATATTGCAATAACAATGAGAGGTAACTGTAGCAACTTTTGTTGTCATATATTTTGTCAATATACCATAAGTTTTAGCGACAGTCTTTTTTTTTCCTGTAAAAAGATAAAGCCCTATTATGGAGCCTAGCTTATTAGTGAATGATATTAGGCGAACTATACCCATATGATCATGCGGAAAGTGTTACACTTGTAAGTAATCCTAAGGGTAGTTTGGTCTTTTCATCTGTGACTTTAGTAGAGTTAGTGGAGAAGGGGTCAAGAAGGTCTTTTAGCTAATTAGGTTAGGTCGATGGAGGAGTTGATATAAATATTTAAATAGAAGGATGCTAGAATTTAGGGCATCATTGGATCATTACTGTTGAGCTAACGAAGTTCATGGAGATAATTCAATTCAGTGTTAGTGTATAGAAGAAAGCTTAATTTTACATTTATTATAGATTATCGATATCGATGTTTGGGAATTGGGATTATGAGCTCACAAACAAAAGGTAACTATTAATAAAATAAACATTTAAATACAGACATATACAATTCATCTTTCCAAATATGACGCAATTATTATTTATTTTCTCACAAACAGAAGAGTGTCTTTGCATGTTTATCCTAATGGTAAGGAGGTGAAAATTTATAAGTGAGAGGTCTATGCTCTTCTAGACACATTGTGGTTTGTTAGGAAATTATTCTTCTATTCATATAAGATTATAACATGTGGATATCATTAATTCTCTCTCTTTATTTTGACACTTGTCTTGATCTAATGTGTAGGAGGATAAGTAGGAAGAAATTGTAGGAGGATATTTGATTTCTCAAAAATAAATAAAGGGTTTAGGTCATTTTTGGTCACTTAACTTTTGGTTTTGTGCTCATTTGGCCGCTTAACTTTTTTTAAGTTTTAAAAAGTCATCAAACTTTTGGCTTTGTGCTCATTTAGTCACTTAACTTTTGGTTTGGTCACGTTTACTCACCTAACTTTTAAAATTGTGCTCATTTAGTCACTAAACTTTTCAATTTTTTAAAAGTTTAGTGACTAAATTAGCACAATTTTAAAAGTTAGGTGACTAACTGCACAAATCTAAAAGTTAAATGACCAAACCAAAAGTTAAATGACTAAATGAGTACAAAGTCAATAGTTTGATAACCTTTTAAAACTTAAAAATAGTTAAGTGACCAAATGAGCACAAAATCAAAAGTTAAGTGACTAAAAATGACCTAAACCCATAAATAAATAGAAAGCTAGAATTACAGAAAGAAATTGAAGGTGGATTAGGACATAATTTTCTTAAAATATGTTTGCCTAGGTGCAACAGCTGGAGTAAACTTGCTTAAAAATTCCAACAAAGAAAGGAAAATGATCTCAAACTTTAACGTGTAGTGTGTTGTGCTATAAAACTCACTTTGTATTATAGAAATTAGAACATGAAATAAGAGGATGCAATGTTGAAATGTTAATCAAAAATCAATATACCAAAGAACAAGGGATTAATCCTAATGATATCCTAGATGTTCGAGAGTCTAGTCTCCCCACAATGAGGTAAAAAAAAAGATGTCAATCTCCTTAGCAATCATATAACCATAACGATCTAACATAATGAAAATGTAAAATTCCAATAATACCCCTCCACAAAAAAGGTTCCATTATAGTGTGTTGAATTCTCGTTTATGCCCCCTTCTAGAATATATGCATTTAATCGGAGGTGTAGCACTATCCCACCACCAAAGAGCGACCATGCCCTTACATTGTATAACCATCTATCTTTTGTCCCCTATTAGAAAAGTATTTGAGTGTAGCACAATAAAATTTGCGATTCAGCCACCCACTCCAAAATCCAAATCGAATGTCAAATTGGGTGGTAATAATAAAGAACATAGCTCGTTACCAATTGGGAAACATGAAATTTCGCATAACAAGATAGAGAAGTATTTCAACAAAAGAGTTAATTGTTCATTAAGAATCCGGGATCAAGATTCATCCTTCGTAACACATCTAAGAAGTGATTAAAAGTTGTTTGTACCAAGCCTTGGTAAAGACATTGGCTACTTCTTCAATTGAATAAACAAAAAATTAATTCAATATTACTTTTCAAAATATTTTCCTTTATGAAGTGATACATGATATCGATATGCTTCGTCATCGACTACTGTATATGATTGTTCGATATAGCAATGACACTCTTTGAATCATAATATATTGGTACTTGTAGAATTGTAAAGCCGTAGTTGAGATTTCATTCAAAGAACTTGTGAGCATACACAACTTGTTTCAATCCATACACAACTTTCTCTAATTTATAGCATTAATTTGGGAATTGGAGATTCTCATACGCATGAGGTTATGTAAAGATACATCTTCTTTCAATTCTTCATTAACGAAAACACTTGGAACATCCATTTGACATAACTTAATGTTTTTATGCGTTGCTTGGAGTCTAGTTTTGTTTCATATCACTACACAAGAGTTGTAACATCCTTAAAGATATTTAAATAAAATGATTTTGAACTCATACAAGTTGTTGGAAAAAAAATTAAAGTTTGTGAAATGGCAAAATGGGGAGAACTTGTAAGCAACACAAGAGAAATTAAAATTGTCAAATTCTAATCAGATTATGTTGAACAAGTTATAGAAATGATTAAAAATGGAAATTTATATTTTTTTGAATGAGAAATATGTATGGAATATCATGATATGATTGATATCATTCTAGTTGTTTATTAAGCGGGACAAAGTGATAAATATGAGAAAATTTTTTGAGAACAAAATTAGCATTTAAAAATCTGTAAAAGATACTTATTAAGGTTATTGTTAAAAATTAGAAAATCAAGCACAAAATGAAATATCATTTGAAATCACCTTATAATATGTATTAATTATATTTTGTTTTTTATACTAATGTTATTAATTTAATGTAATTAGTGTGTGAAATTTAAAATTTAAAATGAAAAATCAATTATTACTTTAATGTAATTAGAATGAAAAATTTTAAATTTTAAATTTGAAATGGAGAATTAATAGGTTGATAGACCTTACATGCCACGTGACACTTGCATCTTCAATTTTGCGTTGAATGTTAAATTCCATTTTTGCCCATACTCTTTTGCCTTCTTTTCCTGCTCAAGTTAATTTGTGAAATTACCCTCCTATTGCTTTAAAATCCGAATTATTCTCTTCTTAAATCTCGCTAAACAGTCAGCAATAATATTATCTTCAATGCTTCGTCAACCTAATTGCAATAAATCAGAAACGCAATCAGGAAGCAAATCTCTACCCGCCTCTCTTCAAAACCCTAACCCCTACTCCATCTCTGATAGATAAGCATCAACGTAGCTATTGAAGATACATTTCTTGGGATACAAAGCCAACGCTTTGCTAACTTTCACTACTAAAATACTCGTCGTAATGTGCGCATCTCTTTTGTCTCCGTCAATTTCAATTCTCCTTCTCCCTCCATGTCTTTCTATCTTTATATTTGTATGATATGAAAGTAACGATCCGTTATTTGTAGGTAATATGTTTTGGGCCTTTTGGTTGTTGACGATATTGATTGCTTTCATTTGTTGGGTTTTAGGTTTTGAACTTCAATTGGTTTGGGAATAATCCAGATGTCGATGATGAAGTAACTGATTACATATGACATATTGGTGAGTGTATCTTCTTTGTATTTATTGTTGCTAATTTGCTGCCTTTTTATATGTACTTGATTTCCCAGATCATTGTTTTTGTATGATAGGGTTTTACTTTTTACACCTATGTATTTAATTGCAGAACGTACTAAATCTATCTTATTCATCCGAGGAGTTGTGTAGTCAACCATCATTGTAAGTAATCAACTTCATGGTGTGTTTTAAAAGAATATTAAATAGGTATAGTTTTAAACATATTTACCAAAAGGGATATTTACCAAAAGGGGGTGATTTGCAATTTATCAAAAATCTTTTACGTGCATAACTCCTGTGCGACTTCTGCGACTTCATCTACTGACGAGACTTCTGGCCACACTTCCATCTTTTCAAACCTCAATCTACAGTGATTATTCATTGCCAATTGCAATTATAGAAATTATGGAGCTGTACAGATCGTGGGTGAAATTCGTTTTTGGAGAAGGGCTAAGAATGTTGTTCATGGAAACGTTGAAAACCTCATCTCATTTCCAAGTAATTGTTGAGTTTTTATTCAATTTTATCTATCTCTATGAAGTTCCAACTCCATTAAGTTTTTCTACACACGATTTATGTTTTCAACATTTTCGTAATTTTACACCGATGCACATGAAGTGTTTGATGAAATGCCTCTGTGAAATCTTTTTTTGAACTTCAAAAATGAAATTGAAATGAGCTCTCTCTCTCTCTCTCTCATCAAATCATCACACTATTATAGGATTGCTTGCTTCAACCATTATCACTTGAACTTATTGATGATATCATAGCTTCCATTCTTCTTCTCCAATTCTTATTCTATATATTGTGATTTATTGGAAAATGACTAATCATTTGTTTTGATTGTTCCTTTCATTTGAACTCAAATCTCTTGTCATTCTTTAATCTGTCATGTTTGACAATGGTTCTAAAGAGAATTTTGTATAGGAAAATGGCATGCCTGAAAACGGTTCTAAATTTTTTGTTGTGGAAGGTGTTGTAAACATATTATGGTTTAAAGTAAAAAGACGGGAAATTTTTTTAAGGAGAATTGATGAATAGAAGAATCATCTTCAATAATTTGTTTGGTTGATTTGGAGCCTCCTGTGGAATTAATGTGGGGCTATACTTAGAATTTTAGTATTCTTCATTTTTACTTTGAACTTAGGTTATTAGTGTTTTTTTCCTAATCATTGTTAATTATAGGTAATGTATCGCAAATTGGATAGATAGATGTGATGTCTAAAGTGTGATATAACTGAAGGTTATGCTTAAGGTTTGTTGGAAAAAATTGAATATGTGATTAGAAATGAAAATTTTGAAATTTGAAATGAAAAATCAATTATTAATTTAATGTAATTAGAATGAGAAATTTTAAATTTTAAATTTTAAATGGAAAATTAATAGGTTGACATGTGGCATTATAGATGACATATAATATTAATGAGGATTTCTAATATTGTGACACTTGTCAATATAAGAATAAACTTATTCATTTACTAGACGAATTCCCGCGCGTTGCGCAGCGAAGATTAAAAATATATTGTTAAAATATTGAAAAATATATATGTTTAAAATGGTTATGTTATTAACATTAACTTTGAGATAAAGATGTTCATTTAAAATACAATTTATTTATAGCTAAATGTAATTTATAGTTTGATGTTATTATCATTTAAAATTGTTATTCATTAATTTTAAACCACTTATTATTAATAATAAGTTAAAGAAGACTTTTAAGAAACACTTAATATTATTATTAAAATGTGAAACATACACTAAATAATAAAGTGATAAGATAGACAATTTGCATTTTAAAAGAGACTTGCATAGATAATATGACATATCCATGTAATTTGATTTTATTATTTATAATTATTGCTTATTAATTTTAAAACCACTTGTTATTATTAATAAGTGAAAGAAATTTTTAAAAAACACTTATTATTATAATTAAAATGTTAAACATATACTAAAATATAAAGTGATAAGATAGACAATTTGCATTTTAAAAAATGCTTACATGAATAATATGGATAATATGACATATCCATGATTTTTAATTAATTATTGTTTTGAAGCAACATGAAAATACAAACATATATACAATAGTTAATTAAATATTATATATATTACCTTCCATAACATATGATCGATAACATGAATCTAATCTAATTTACATTAAAATTTCAACCATAACATACAATGATATTCTTAAGAAAAATACTTAAATCAAGAAAATACAAAAAAGAATTAGTATATAACAAACTTACAAATTTAAAACTTCAACATAATAACATGGCTTAAAAAATTGTTCAAAGCCCTCAAACCAACATAAAAAACTTTAAACTTGTTTTCTTTGTGAATTTTGTATGTGATTTGTATTTGTGTGTCTACTAAAAAAGATTGACCTTTTTATAGTAGAGTATCCATTAATTGTTTATTAAATATATTTATATAAGTTATAAAACCTTTGAATTGTTAATCATTATTAAGAGACTTTTGAGTGATATTCATTAAAATAGGAGGTTTCAAATGTATGAGGTGTTTGCAAATTTTTATGGGGGTTTCAAATGCATGAGGTTCAAGGAAAAATGCTAGCTTTATAAGTATGTATGATATGATTAGAATAGAGAGAAGAGATATGGGTTATGTAATGCATATTATCTATTAATCGACTTTTAATTAAAATCTGCAAATTGAGAAACAAAATAAAATATCTATCAGTTGACTTTTAATTAAGATGTACAAATTAAGAAGCAAAACAAACACTAATTAAGTACTGATGTGAAAGTATTTGAAATCTAGAAGCATAAGAATGTTCATGTAGATAGGAGTGTACCACATCTTTATTATGATAAATTAGAAGTTAATTTTGGAATTAATTGCCGATCCGTGAGTTTGGCCTTAAGGAGTTTTGAAATTAAAAGAAAGATGTGCATTTTTTAAAAAGATTTCTCATTTTTTTTATCACATTTATTATATTCCCATGTATTACATGCAAAAAGAAGGACGATACGTGACAATCAAAAAACATCACGAGCTTCACAACAATTTGGCGGAACATATATATCAAGTTAACGAAATTGATTTAAATGAGCCCACAATGATATCGGCAAATATTCGAACCGGAAGATTTTTTGTTATTTGGATTAGCATTCCTACGTTATTAAGTTAGTTAATTTAAATTTCGTTTTATGTTTGTTAAATCAAACGTAATGTTTTTAAATTTTAACGAAATATTATGTTATTTTAACTAGTATTTATTTTTTGTTTTATGTGATTTTTATATTTTTGAATTTAAAAAAAAAGAAAAAGTTGGTAGGTAAAAACATCACCACACCCTACTTATAGATAAATTGTTGCAAAAATGGTAACAACTTGCATGGCGCCTATGTGGCACACCTTTTTCATAGGTAAAAACTTTACAACACCCTTTAGCCTAAAAAATAATGGATTAACTATTTCAAGTATGTAAATCTTTCGTTAATTTCAAGTTTTTAAAACAAATGAACAATAATTGATACTCAACAAACTTGGAAATTTCTAATTATATTACACCATTGAATATATTCCGAGTTACCAAATCAATGCAAAGAGAAGAATTTAACTTGATTCCTTAAATAATATATTATCAAAGTTGAAATGTGTCACACCCCCAAACCGGAACGGCGGAAACGTTCGGGGGCGAAGGACGTCATGTACAGTATCACAACAATTGAATAATAGTAATCAAAGCAACAACAACCATTGTATTGATATTAAAATGTTTACATTGTATTCGAATCATATATGATTTACTCCAAAAGTAAATAGCAAAATAAAGACTTGAAGCTACTATGCTCCGTCTTCTAGGAACCCGGTGCGTGTACCTGCCTACTAGTGTCTTGAATATACAAGTGGTTTTGAAAATGTCAACATAAAGTTGGTGAGTTCATAAGCGTTTTGTTTTAGAAAACAGGTTCTTTGTTCTTTGTAAAACATGATGTGTTTCTCCAAAAAATCCTATATTTTCTGATGTGATGAATGATAAGTAATATATCTTGTACTAGTTCCTTCCACGAGTACTTAGTGTATACAAGTTATATACAATCCAGATCAAACAGACAGTCGATTGGGTGATTCCGCCCTAAGCCCACAACCAAACAAGGAACAGGAAATGAGGCGGAGGTCACATATCCCACTGTTTGTCGGATCCTCATTGTATGTAACCCTGATGTATTCACTAGGTACTTACAGAGTTAACTGTAATAGTCCCTTGAAAAAAATGATGAAAGTGTTCCTTAAGAAAATCCTATATTTTCTTAGTAAGAATATGATAATACCAGTTCCTTCTATGACCACTTAGTTTATACTAGCTATATATAAACCAAGATCGAACGGACAATTGATTGTGTGGATCTGCCCTAAGCCCACAACCAAACAAGGAACAGGAAATGAGGCGGAAACCACACATTCCACTGCCTATCGGATATTCTTCATACATAACCTTGATGTATAAACTAGGGAATTATAGAATTAACAATGATTGTCCGTTAGTTGAATGGTAAACCGTTTGCTTGTAAAATACTGATGTTTGTCTTGGAAAATCTTATATTTTCCATAAAAGTGAGTTGTTGTCTTAAATGCTCCAAAACTGAAAAGTACAAGTATTTTCCCATACTTATGTTGTTAAAGTGTAGCTTTATTATTAAATAAAACTAGTCGAAAACGTGTTTGTTTTGTAAACTGGAAGTGATGTTAATACCCTCCTGTGATCACTTAGTACAAACGAGTTATAGAATCTAGATCGAACAGACAGTCGATTGGTGATTCTGCCCTAAGCCTACAACCAAACAAGGAACAGGAAATGAGGCGGAAGTCACACATCCCACTACATGTCGGATGTTAATTTCATATCACCCTGATGTATATACTGAGTAATCACATAGTTACTAACCCTGATGACTGTTTGTTAAGTATGTTATTATTACGTGAACGAGGTCATGTTATAACCATGTGAGTTCTTATAACCATACTGATGGAAGTTAAACCCTACGACGTACTTCGGACGTCGTTAATGTTAATGACGTTTGTCACCCCAGGCATGCCTGCCTAACTGTAGCTAGCAGTTCAGGTGTGGGATTGTCAGTCCCGTATAGATCTATAAACAAACTTACGCTCTCCATCCAGGAGACTCTGGTTCATAATGTTAGACTTCCCTTGGTACTTAGGTAAGTACTCGAAGACGTGTCTCACAAATTTGTTCCCTCAACGGATTCACGAATAAGACA